GGCGGGCAGCAGGCGCGGGCACCCTTCCCCCAGCCTGCGTCTCCCCGGCAACAGCAGCCTCGGTCTGGGGCTCGGCCCCTCCCCCGCTCCGCCCCGGCTGCGGCTGCGAAGCGTCTGGAACCGCATCCTTCCTCCGCATCCTCATCCAGAAACCGCATCCTGCCGCAGCTGTCCGTTGGAGCCTCCCGTAAGCCTTTCCACATTTCTCCCTGTGGAGCGGGGCAAGGGGTCCGATTGTGTGCAGGTGTGTGCGGGTGTGCGGCGTGAGCGTAAGAGGTGCGTGTGCAGGGTAGGAGGGCGTGGGGGTTGCACTGCGGCTGACCCGATGGCGGCCAGGCCGAGCCAGGGTCCTCCCTTGGGGTCTGTGCTGACGGGAGCGGGCTGTTGTCCCCAGGCCTCCGCGACAATCGGGGGAGGGGGGAGGGTCGAGGGGAGCCCTGCCTGGACCTTCTGGAAAGGCCGCAGTGTCCAGCCTTGCACAGACCTGACATGCCGCCGGGGCCCCTGTCTTCAGCAGAGCAGGGCAGGTCGGGGAGGGGGGGTTCGGACTGCTGGACATCAGCCCCCAAATGTGACTGCAGCCCCCTCCCCTGAGCCAGCTCCACCCCTGCAGATCAGAGAGAGCCAGTGGGAGCCTGGCCTCCCAAGATGAGGAGGGAGTGCGAGTTCCAGGACCCGAGTCCTGTCCGGGGGGGGGTGGGGGAGGTGGAGGGGAAGGGAGGAGGGGGTTGGCAGAAGGGGCGCCAGCGCCAGAGTGCGGGGAACCGCTGTGGGCCTTCGAATGGGGTGGGGCAGCTGCGGGCTTCTGGAGGTCGCCAGGAGGCCGGGAGGGGGCCTTTCCCAGAACCACCTGCCGCACACAGGCTCTGGATGCGGGGCCACAGGCGCTGCTACGTGGCAGCCGAAGTCGGGTGCAGCCTCGGGTCCCCCTCACCGGGGCCTCTCGGCTGGGTCGCCAGCCCACAGTCCACCTGTCCTTGAATCAGGAGCAAAACCCACGCCGGGTCTGCAGAATGAAGGGCAGGAGGCACGTGGGTGCGGGGTGCGGAGCCGGGGCGGGGGGGACGGGGGCTCTGCAGGCTTCCAGCAAAAAGCTCGGGCCCCCAGCGCTCCGCAGTCACACGCATGCCAGACGCGCGGACGCTCGTGCCCGCGCGCACCGGCGCGCATCTCTCATCCAGGGCGGACTGTGTGCGGAAGCGAGGACGAGCCTGCCGCCAGCTTCGCGGGCTTTCCGCTAAGGGGCCCAGCGTTCATGCCTCCGTCCATCCGTCAGCACGGCCTCGCCGCTCATCCTGGCCCCCACCCCAAGCCTCAGAGAGGAGGCCTGCACTGACCCCCGACCCCGAGCCCACAGCGGTGACCCGCTGGACAATACACAATTACAGGGTGGAGGGAGGGGCCGCTGGGAGGGGTAGGGACGACGCTCGCCCCACTCCGCGGAGCTCTGTGTCTGTCATGGGAACGAGCCCAGCCAGCCTTCCCAGCGGGTCCTCTATGACTCAGCAAGGAAAAGGCATGTTGGGGGAGGTGGGTCCCCACATGCAGCCCAGCCCCTCCCTCAGCTTTCTGCCCGGGGCACGGGGCCTGGAACCAGATGCGGCGGTCTAGAGGGCCCCCAATAATTCCCTTTCTCCGTGAAGACCAGTCATCGCCGGCCGTGTCTCCGTTGCCGTGGAAACCCGCGATGATGGGACGTGGACGTCAGGCTGCATCACAGGAGTCGGAGCTTACGTTTGGCTCAAAGGGGCGGAGCCCCTTTAGGGAGGGGCCCGGGGAGACACCGGCCGTCTCCTTCCAGCGACCCGAGATCCGCGGGGCTGCGGGGCAGGGGCCGAGCCCCTGTGATCCTCCCCGCTCCTCTGTGCACCACGGGCTGGGTCCTGGAGCCGCGGGGCGTCCGCTCCATGAAGACCTCCAGCCCCCTTCCCCTGGGTGGCGACCCCTCCAGCCCTCCGCCCAGCTCCCCCAAAGCCCTGGGCACTGGCTGCCCCCACTCCCGCCGCCCCTCCGCGGCGCCCCCTCGGCGCTTTGAGCTCTGGTTTCCCCTTGCACTGGGTCGCCCGACCACCTTATGCCTGGCGGCCCCCGACCGCCTCTGCCTCTCGGAGCGCAGACGTCGTCGGCACCGTGCGACTGCCGGGCGCCAGCCGGGCCATGCCCCGCCCTCAGCCGGCGGGGGCGGGGGGTGAGTGGGGGCGCGCTGCGGGTGTGCGGGTCCCGACGGGCGCGCACGCCCAAGGCAGGGCCCGAGGAGCCCCCTCCTCCCCGAAGCGACGGGGCCGGCCCGTCTCCGCCCGGCCTGCTGCTTCCTGCCTGCGCCACAGTGGCCATCCCTGGCCACCCCCAGCACGCGCGCGCGCGCACACACATACGTACTCACGCTCAGCACTGCCCTGGTCTCCGTGCCCAGCGCCTTCCTCTCTGTGCTGCACACCCGTCGGCCTCTGCCAGGGCTGGAGCCCTCCTTTGTACCCCGCTAGGCCTGAGAGAACAGGGCGCCGGCGCTGGTGGGGCTGGTGCAGGGAGAAACGTTTGGGGATGGTAAGGTCACCCTAGGACAGGAGCGTGGGGGTTCAGAGGCACGGCAGTCTCTGCAGGGGAGTACAGGCCGTGGCGAGAGAGTGGGGACGTTTGGACGCCTGAGCGGGAAGCACAGTCCCTGGGGTCTGCCTTTCTCCCCCAGCGTCCGCACAAAGAAGGGGGCACAGGTGCCAAGTGGCTGACCCTCGCTGTTCAGCTGAACGTGAACATGGGGTCCAGTCCTGGGGAGGCCACTACCTGTGTCTCTGCCACTAGCTGTGTCTCTGCCACTAGCCTGCTGTTGGAAGCCCTGCCATTTTGGGCAAATACCGTCTCCAGTCTGGCTCTGTTCCCACTCTTTGAAGCCAGGAGCTCACAGTTTTAACGCAACCCTTTCTTAATATTTCCTGTTACGGTCGGTGCTTACTTATCACACTGAAGAACTTCTCCTCCCTGAGACCAGAATATTACCTTCAAGGTGTTTTTCCAACTGAAGTTGAGCCACCTGGAGCAAGCTTTCGTGTACAGTCTGAGGCAGGGCTTGGGTTCGCCGTTTTCCATCCAGACAGGTGTTTGTGGAAAGGTGGCCAGCCCCCTTGCCTCGCACTGACAGCCCTGTCATAAACCCATGGTCCGTGTGTGTAGGGTGTGTCACCTGGATCTTCGTCTCCCACACATCGGTACCACATGGCTTAATTTCCACTGCTGTGTAACAAGCTGGATCCTGGCAGATGGAACCCCCGTCCGTGTCCTCAAGATGTCGTGTCTGTTCTTTTCCCTGTGCCTTCCACATAAAATCACGATGCTTGTCAAGTTCACACCAAAAAAAAAAGAAAGTCCTCTTGGAATTTTGGCTGAGGTTTATTGATTCAACAGATACATTTTAAGAGGAATCGACATTTTAAAACCTGGACCCCTCCAAAGCCCGTGACACGTCTCCTCCGTTTATTGAAGGGATGTAGGCCGTGCGGCCTCGGGCGGCAATGCTGGCTTGGGGTCTTCTCCATGCAGGTCTTTCTTATCTCATCTCTCATTAGACTGATTCCTGAGCACTTGATATTGCTGATAACGCTTAAATGAAATCTTTCCAGAAAACTCTTTTCTCATTTTTTGTCACTGATATATAGTAATATAATCGATTTCCGAATATCTGAAATCCATCCACCTTGCTGAACTCACTTTCCAACCCTTAAAATTTGTTTTTCCTTTGGGTCCTCTGCACACAGAATATGTTCCATCTGTAAACAATGCAGGATCACCTAGCCTCGTCAGGCCTGTGTCTCCTCTCTGTTCCCAGCCCCTCAGCTTGGCTAAGACCTCTGGAACTGACAGCAAAAGGGCCATTTTGTCTCCTTCCTGAACTTACAGGCAAAGCTTGAGCCCTTCAGAGCAAGGTTTGGTGCAGGGATTTCTGTGGATAACCTTTATCAGATTGAGGAAGTTGCCTCCTATGCTAAGATTTTTAAAAATAGTACACAAATACTTGTATAAAATACTTGTTCAGCTACTGCTGAAATTGACGAGATAATTTTTCTTTTTTATTCTGTTCATACGGTAAAAACACTAATTGCTCTTTAGATATTAAACTAAATTTCATTTCTAGAATACAACCGACCTTCCGTGATGTATTACCCTTTAATATCTTGCTGGATCCCGTTCGCTTGCATTTCATTAGGGCCTTTGCATTGATGTTTGTGGGGGCGATTGCCTGAGACGTCCTGTCCAACATTGTCTTGCCAGGTTTTGAGATGTTTGCCTCATGAGCCATTCCTTTGTTCTCTCTGAAGAGTTCTGTATGAAACTTGCATGATTTCCTCCATAAGTGATCGGTGGGATTCAGCGGTGATGTCGTCTGGGCCTGGAGTTCTTTGTTGGAAAGCTTTAATGACAGATTCAAGTTCTTGGTGGACACAGGACCTTCCTTTCTTCTTCTGGTTGACTGAGTATATTTCTGCTTTTTCAGTATGGAAGTCACTTGCTGTGTCTCTTAGCAGTCAGCATAGCTTTTCAGAATAGGTCTGTCCTGTATTGCAAATTTCATGGGAGGTACTTATTCTAAAAAAAGAGAGAGAGAAGCATCCTTTTTACCTGAAGTTCGGATTTAACCAGGTGTCCTGTACTTTTACTTGCTATGTCTGACCACTCTACTCTCCAGGTTTATATCTGGGATTGTTTTCTGTTGACAGGAATAGCTGCCCCTAGAATGTCCTCTAGCAGGTCAGCCAGTGGAAGACTGTTACTGTTGTGTGTCTGGGCAGTCACTGGTTAGAGGTGCCACCACTGCATGGCTGTGGGGCCCAGAGGAAGCCTAGGAAGGGACTAGAAGCCTGTGGGAGTTTGGCCTGGCTGTCCAACGCCCACCCCATCCCAGGGGCCAGCCCTCTCTGGATGGACTCTCTGTCCAGACCCAACTGGTGTGGATATCTACTAGGTGGCCAGCAGGCAGTGACCCTGTGTCTGCCTCTGGACAGGACAAGGCCCACCGTCGACCATGGTGAAGCTGGGCTGCAGCTTCTCGGGAAAGTCGGGCAAAGACCCCGGGGACCAAGACGAGGCTACCACGGACAGCGTCCCTCTGATCAGCCCCCTGGATGTCAGCCAGCTTCAGCCACCTTTCTCCGACCAGGTGGGGCGCCCTCCTCTGCCCGCCCTGGGAACAAAAGGGTATGGGGCGTGGCTTATTTAGCAGTCCCCTTCCAAGTTGCAAGAGGACAGGTGGAGGGAGGGCCAGCTGGATCGAAGCCCATGTGATCAGCTCTCTCGTCACCCAGAGACACCCTTTCCTCATTTGTGAGCAGGGTAACCTGGTCACAGGTGACTGAGAATTCCCACGCTATCTCCCAGATAGCGCCCAGCCCACAGTGCTGCCCCGCGGGGGCTCAGCAAGCGAAAATGCCCACCTGCCCCTGCTGGGCACTGTGTCATGGGTCAGGCCTGAGATAAGGTCCTTCCTGGGGCTGGTGGCTGGTGGCGTGGGGGGCTTCCAGTAGGGATCTGTAAGAAGCAGAGCTCGGCACAGTCCCCCCTGACCCCATGCGAGCTCCCAACTGTGAATGGCACTCAGAGCTGTCCACGCCGGAGAGGGGGCAGCTATCTGTACTATGTCAGTCAGCTGTTGGCTGGGGACTGTGGGGACTGGGAGCCTTCCCAGGCATTGGCTGAAGGCAGTTCTCCAGTGACCTGGGTGGGCTTCCACTGCGTCTGCTCCAGTTTTGGACCTGGTTCTCAGTGGACACCATGGGAAGGCTCAGTGCTTGCCCCCGGGGAATTACAGGACCACACCAGCCTGTACTCCGTGTGGGAGGGGCCTCAAGACTCTGGGGGCCAGAGAAGTCAGGGCAGACTTCCTCCTGGAGGAGGGGCCACGCTGTGGGGCTGCTGAAGGGGACGCTCCTGGCGGGCAAAGCTGGCACCCTCGAGATGGAAAGCTGTCAGCAGACGGCAGAGCTCCATGCATGATCTGGCCCGGCCTCGCGGCTGCCCTGGACCCAGCAGGCTTGCAGCTTCCACCTTCCCTTGGCTTCAGCTTGTATCCACTGGAGCCCGGCCACCAGACAGTCCTGGAAGATGGTCAGCACTCACACCACTGCTGGGCAGCTGACCCCCGGCGCCCTCCCCTTCCAGCCCTCCCTGCTCAGGGTCCTCCTGGGTCACCTCTTTGCACAGGTGGTTATCAAGACACAGACGGAATACGAGCTGACCTCCATGGACCAGCCGAAGAAGTTCCCGGACCTGGAGGCCCAGAAACTGGCCTGTAGCCACTCGGAGGAAGGGCGCAGGGTAAGCCAGCCCTCCCGACCCCGTGGTGCCAGGGTAAGTCCCGGGGGAGTCAGAGGACCCAGGCCGGGCCAGGCAGGCTGTGCTCAGAGGAGGTGGACAAGGCAGGAGCTAATGGGGGTGCTTTGGGGTGGGGTGGCTGAGGGACTTGGGGCTGGGCAGCACCAGGCTGACCCCTAGCTGGCCAAGCCCGCAGCCTCCCTGCTGGACAGTGGGGTGACAGCCAGGGTAGGCCGCACCTGCTTGTGTGTGCACCAGCCTGCCCAGTGGGTCACTTGTCTCTTCCCTGGTGACTCGAGGGTTTTCCGTGTACTACGGAAGTCACTGTCCCTGCTGTGTACTCTGGCAAATGTTTTCTGTCGTCCTTTCTTCTAGCTCCTAACGTCGCTAATGATGGCTTTTCTCATTATTCTGTACTATCTCCAAAGCTCTTCATTTTCCAGTAGTAAAATCTGCCCCTTTCCTCTTGTTTCTGAGGTGGGAGGGGGGCCCCCAGAGGCCAGGGCGGGCCGGGGCTCGGCTGTGTGTGCACCTCCCCCAGGGCCCCCAAGCTCAGGCTGGATCCAGTGCCCCCCCACACCTGGTCCCTCCTTCTTCCCGACCCCAGCTGCCCACAGCACGCATGATCGCCTTTGCCATGGCGCTCATGGGCTGTGTCCTGATCATGTACAAGGCCATCTGGTACGACCAGTTCACCTGCCCTGACGGCTTCCTGCTGCGGGTAAGGCCCTGAGCCTGGGCTCTGAGGTGGGGAGGGGTCCCCCAAGAAGAGTGTCAGGGAGGGGCTCCCAGAGGTCGCCTGTGGAAGCACAGGGTGGGGGGTGGAGCAGCCCCAGGGTGCCCTCTCCTGTCCCAAGCCACCCCCAGGCAGACACACCCCACCCCCACAGAGGCCTGTGGCCCTTGCGGGATTCCTGGGGCTCCCTGTGTGTTCTTGGGCATCTGCTAGGTGCTCTGGAGTATAGTCGTGAGCCCCTTCCTTTTCACTCATGACACAGGGACCACCCTCGTTCTGAGGGGGTTGGCTCTACATGGATCCTTAATTCTGAATTGGAGGTGGACCTTTGGTGGCTTATAATTACGGCAGAAACAAATGTATTTAAGGACATTGTGTATAGTGTGATCGGACTGCTCAAAAGCAGAAAGGACTGTTCCTCCCTCGCGTGGCACACAACTGTGGCTCTGCCGTCGTGGCCAGTGTCACTGAGGAGGGCTCGCCGGCCTTTGCACACCTGAGCCCAGGGGCGGCGCCAGCCAGCCCCTCCAGACCGAGACCC